CGGTTTCCATTCGATCAACAAAAATGCTTCCTTACTTTCGAGTCGTATGTTCAGGAATTCCTTTATCCTTCGTTTTTTTTTTCTCTCGGAATAAATTAAATTTAGCAAAATTTTTTTAAAAAAAGTATTGTAGATTTAATTATAATACTGGTGAAGTACGTATGTCCTGGAATCAGCCTTATCCGGTGATGCTGCTCAAGAAAATTGAACTACCCGATTTCAAATTAACAAATTTTAGTGTAATTGCAGTGGAACAGGTATTATTATCATTCAGATATTATCATCAGATATGAAAATATCATATGTGCAAATAAGGAATATAATGATATCATTAAAAAGAAAACATTTGAAATTTGTTAAAAGCAAAATTAAAATGAATAATAGAATTTTTTGTAGTGTTAATTTTTTTTACAAAATTCTAGTAAAATTACTGCTAAAAATGATTTCTACAAAAATTTCATAAATTACCGAGTAATTTTTGTAGAAATATTATAGATGTATCCGGCAGGTTGGTGGGATGAATTAACAGTTGCATTCGTTTTTAAAAGACGATATGGTTGGTACATTCTTCAAGGGTATATCCCAACTTATGTCACCATTTTTATTTCATGGATTTCATTTTATCTTGGATCGAGGTTCATGTATATCTTTAGTATATTTCTTCGCCTATTCACAAATACAATTCATATCAAATACTTTTACATTTACAAATGCAAAAAGCTAATTGGTAATTAGTAGGGCAATTTTCTTCAATTCATCAATTTTTCCATCCATTTCTTTTCTTCCCTTTTTTAATTTAGTATATTCCGAAAAAGAAATGCTATAAATTAAATTCTTCCAAATAATTAGTTTATTTTCACAAAAAAAAAAGAGCGATATATTTCAGAGCGATACCAGCACGAACAATGTTAGGAGTGAATTCGTTATTAGCAATGACATTTCAATTTGGTAATATCATCCGAAATTTGCCACGAGTTTCATATGTTAAAGCAATTGATGTTTGGATGCTAAGGTAATAAAGCACTATTTGATTTTTCGTTTATTTCTATAAAAAATTTGAATTTAAAGAAAAAAAAATGAAAAATGAAAATCTATTGTAATTTTTATATTTGAAATGAATTTTAAATTATATCATTGTTTTAGTTAGCAAAATATCAAATTAATTTCAGCGGTATGATGTTTATCTTTTTATCATTGCTTGAATTAGCAGTAATTGGTTTTATGTCACGAAATGAAGCTGCACCAAAACAATTGAAAAAACGAAGTGTTATTTGTAACGATTTAACATGGAATGAAATGCCTAGTCCTAGAATGGGTTTACGCCAGGTTAATTAATAAATTATTTTATAAATTTATTAATTTCTTTTTTGCCAAAATTTAAAAAACAAGAGATTATTTTTTTTTAACGAAAATTTGTATTTTAATAAATGTTGAAAATTTGTTCATTTTATAGTTTTGGGTGGATCAACGATCTACAGCTTCATTTATGAATGATAATGAGGTAATTTCAGTAATACTCTTTTAGATTCTTGGATTAAATATATAATTGAAAAAGGTTTAAAATTTTAACTAAAGTTAATTTTAATTATTTAAAGTTAACGAGGCGAGTGTTATCGATCAATTCTCATTTAACCGAAGCTAATCCATCAAATCTAGAAATATTAACTGTAAAACCATCGAAAAAGTAAGTTTGAATAATTGATTAAGTTTTTATCTACCTTGAAGAAGGAAGATTCCTGAAATGGGATCGTGCAGAAGAATCAAGAGTAATTAATAGATTTTTCCTTTCCTAAAAAAATTGATAACTAGAGGAATTATAGATAACAGAATATTTTGAATGTCTAAATTATAGTTTGTTGTTTTTATTATCCCATATAATTTTTATAGCAAACTAAAAATAATGCGTCAGTGATAATGATAATAGTGATAATAGTCAGTGATAATAGTGAAATAAATGAGAATGATCGTAAATCTAACTGTGATAATGATCGTAAAAGATATTCGTAAGAATGATAATGAAATTGATTTTAAAGCTAGGCTATGTGAATAAGGGATGGATAAACAATTTTAATGTGAAAAGAATAAATTTTTAATAACATAACCAAATGTGAGATTACTTTTTGTAGGATGAAAGTGCCATTTTCAGGAAATCAAGGTGTAGATTTAGGAGATTGCGAAAGATTCTCTATTCATTAGAACCTGAAGTTGTCGATAAATACAGGTATTAATGTTTCGTTTTTTTTGTTTGTTTCTCTCTCCCTCAACCTTTTTAATTATAATATTACCAAAAAGTAATCGATAACTTTTAGTACTATTAAAAATATTTGCTAAAATTTCTTTTTCCTAAAAAATTTACTTTTAATAAAATCCTTTTTTTTAGCGCAATATTTTTTCCCACCGCATATTTCGTATTTAACATTGGGTAAGTACTACATTAATTTTTGCTTGTATATATTTATAAACATTCGTTAGTAGCACAACTATATTCCTAAAAAGGTCACGAATTAACCCTTTGAAAATAGGATAATAAATGATAATGCCATCTGTTTCGTCAGTTAATCAAATCTGCTACAAATATCTTATATATCTTTTATTAAATATAACAACAGCTGCAACGGAATATTTTAGGATTGATCTAGAAAAAAATTGTTATTTTTAAATAATTTCAAAAATTACATGGATGAACCACTCATTAATTAATATAAGTAAAAGTAATAAGCAAAAATAAGTAAAAAAAAATATTGGAAATTTATTTTTTTAAATTTTAGATTATAAAGGATTTAAATAACTTGAAATTTTTAATTACCTAATATTGCAATAAGCAGAATTACTATTTCTTAATATGTATTAAAAAATTCTTTGTTTTTTTCCTAAACGAATTATTCTAATTTTGCAGCTATTGGAGTTACTATCTTACAAGTCTTTCATCAGCCGAAGAAACTACCGCAAGTTGATTGAATATGATTTTATTATCATTTGTTACAAAAAGTATCCCATTGAATGGAATATGAGTGAATGAATCAATACGTTATGATATCATTGCCTTATCACAATTTCAACTATATTATATGATTTTTTTATGTGACTTATACCAAATAAAACAATTTTTTGAAACGTTTTACTAATTTAAATAAACAATATTGACCGTTACTTATAGTAATTAAAATTAGGTAAGCATTGATTGATTGGTAATTTAGTGAGTTTAAGATGAAAGCTGCTAGAATATTTAAATTTCATTGAACTATCAATAATATCAAAAAATTGACCCATTTATGGATGGTACTTGAAGAAAAACTTTAAATGACATAATTTTGTATAGAAGATTATTTTCTAAAGATAAAAGCTTAAATTAAAATTTCTAAAATTTGCAAGAAATTGTAAAAGCCAAGCTTAAATTTTACAAATAATAATTTTGAATTAAAATGTCCCCAACCTATAATATTATCAAGCATATCAAACAAATGGTTAAGACAGTTTACAAAATTTCAATAAATTACAGTACGATATTCCACTTACAATCTATATCTTTAAATCTTCGAACTTGAAATAAAACAAAAGAAGCGAAATAAAACATAAAAACTTTTTTCTTCTGATTAAAGAATTTCTGACTGTTATATCAAAAATGAAAAATGATAACTAGTCGATTTTATCACTCTGATAATTCTCATATTTAGTCAAATAAATGGAAAGGTCAAACATCCATATATCATAGAATGAAAAATTGAATGTTGCTGTCGTAAAATCTGATACAACGATTAATTGCTTACGATAAATTTTTGCATGTTTTATTCAAATCATTTTAATTTTTGACAAAATGTACAATATTTCATGAATTAAAATTTTTGATAATAATTAGATAATAATGATGATAATAAATTGATAACAATAATTTGATAATGATCGAATCCGTAAATTTAGTAATTTAAATTAAATTCATTATTCATTCAAAATTCCTTGAAATTTTTACAAAGTTTGATTATATTCCATTATTGTTGTAATCTTTTCTTTTGGTGATAATTAATAATTTAGCTATTTATCTTAATCGGTTCAGTTTATTATAATGCTTTCAGTATTAGAATGGATGCAGTATCATCCTTTTATTTCCAACTATTATTTGAGTATTATATTTGAGTATATGATTGAAGCAAAATGATTTAAATTCATTCTATCTATACTTCAATGATTTATATCATAATTCCATATAATTTAATAACTTTTTTCATCTATACATTTTAATGATAATAATTCATCTATATATTTTAATGATAATAATTGAAATAATCGTTAATAGATAACAGAATATTTGCTATTATTATAAAAAGATATATCGGTATATGCTGGTATATGCTATTATTAAAAAGGTATATGGTATTATTACAAAAAGGTATAAAATATTTGCTATTATTATAAGAAGGTATATTTTTGAAAAATTATATCGAATGTGAGTTACAGTAAATTGTTGTTATTACTTTTATAAATGCATAATCGACTTTATTATCTTAAAAAAAAAAAAATAAAGATTGATTTACATTTCAATCATATAAAGCTGATTTACATTCAAATCCTTAGAAGCATCAAATGATGAAGTAAAAAATTTAAATTGGGCACCATCATGATACAATTATTCCGTATCATATCACAGAGTATTATAAAAAAAAAAAAAAAATAAAACGAATAGGACAGAATTGAAGCATTTTGTAGTAAATATCGTAAGTTTTAAGGAATTTACATCAACAGTTTTGAAGCGAAAAGAAATTCTGATAAATAAATTGATAGGAATTTTTGATATTGCAAAAAATTACAATGCTACTAAAAATTATTCTCCATCATTCAGTAATTCATTATTAACAAATAAAAATATTGTTGAAAAAATTTTTTCTTGAATTTCCTTTTTAAACAGCAATCGAAATCCTAAAAAGGCTAAAAAAAAAAAACTTTACTTTATGTTGGATACAGAAATGAAACTCGTAATGATGAAATTTTAATGTACAGTTGAATTGCTAATATATGTGAGGATCTTCATGCCAATAACGTAAAGCTCGATCATTTGTACCAGTTGAATAATTATATCGATTATAATTGCTACTAGGTGTTGTTACAGCAGCTAAAACAAAAAAGTAATTATTGGAATATATCATACGATGATCATAATTTGCAAAAAAAGAAGTGAAATATTAAAATTAAATCTTATGCTGAAATTTTTAGTTTAGAAGAGAAAATTTTTTTAAAATGAAATCATCACCTGTATATTTCCTATATTGTGGCGAAAATGAATCACGTATGATTGCAGGTGTAAGATGAGATGATGGATATACACCATAAACTTTATCCGATAAACCATATCTGAAAAAACTCTTGCTCAATGAAATCTTTATTTTCTAATTTTTTGCAAAAATGATATATTGAATCAACTTTGATTAAATGTTTCCTTCACGAAGAAGAATTACCTTGTTGAAGTGGATGGTAGAAAATTAGGATAATCAAGATTTGCATAATTGCTGGAAGATGCCGGCACTGTTACACTTTCTTTACTTTTTCGAAAAAGTGCTTTAATTTTATCAATAGGTGAAGATGGTCTCTTGAAGTCCGATTCCATCCTAAATTTTGTAAATTTTTAATTTGAAAAAATAAAAGAAATTTCAATTTCATTTAAATAAAAGACAACAATGGCTAACCCTCCAATTGTTATTTTACTATCTGGTCCAAGGCGCATTTCTGTTGTTCGTCTTCGTCCAAGTGCCAGAAAAAGTGAACGTTTCTTAGCTGCTTTTGATTGCTCATCTTTCGAAACTTTACCTAAAATATGGTACTTAATTTAGTTTGAAAAAGTTAAAATAAAATGTAATTCGGAATGAAGCCTAAATCTAAAATATGGTACATAATTTTTAACAAGCAATGCATGATCTACGATTTCACCGATACTCAAATTTTTTGCTAATGTAAAATGATTTCGATACGTAAGTCTGGAGATGAAAATATTGCTTGCTTCTGCATTGATGTATGAATGTCGTATAAGATAGTTGGTGAAATAAATGTTTTATCCCTACAACTTATACTTTTTCAGAATTCTAAATTCTTCACAAAGATATGATTCCGGAGAATGATTCCAACAATTAACAGTTAATCTACCTTAGCTATGATTTACCTGCTGAAACGGTAAATATTATATAATACAATAAAACATTGACAAGGGACACCTAAAATACCGTTTAAAAACATAGTATTGATGATTTTGATAAACAATACAATGACCGAATATAATTTCAAAGAAAAAAAAGGAAACATACCAGCAGTTGAAGATATCTGATCTTTTCCTCCACCAATTCCTTGGCCACTTCCCGTAGACGATATTTCGGCTGATGTATGGTCATTATCCGTATTCTAGAAATTTCAGCATAAAATAAAATTCATCAATTTCAAATAAATACATAGAGAATAATAAAACAATTATAGCATATTGATTACTTAATTATACTATGTATTCAAGTATATAATTCGAAACACAATAATACAAAGAAATACATTTACCACAATAAATTCAATTACTCATTTGAATTATGAAAGAGGAAAACTATAAAAAAAAAGAGAGTTATATTGGGTGAATTTGGATAAGTTATTTATTGAATAAATAAGTAAATAAATAAATAAACAAATAAATAAATAAAGTATATTTAATATATATTTAATGAATGATATTAAGAATATCTGAAAATCTTAGAAATATTTGAAAATAAGAAAATTTCTCATAAATTCCACATTCTTCATTAAGCACTATTTATATAAATGATAGATAAAACGAAAATTAAAATAATAAAAATAAAATAATAAAAGAAAATCGGATGCTTTTCTACAATTAATAATAGCTAACAACAGTTAATACTACAAATAATCAGATTTTCGAACGTTGATGAAGCAAACTCTGAATCTCGTAGTCTTAGTTGCGCTATCAATATATCCCTGAAGATTTAATTTTAGCAACTAAATCAGTTAAATATCTAATTAGATATCCGAAATTACTATCTTAATTTTTTTTCTCTTTTTTTTGTAAATTTTTTCAACTAAACTTATTTATTTAACTTTATAGAAAGGTAATACTGCATTATTACCGAATATCATAATTTCAGGTAACATTGAAATATATATTAATTTAAAAGCAACATAAAACATACTTGTTTATTTTTCAGAATGCCTCGTGTTGGCAATTTGCTATGATCTGGTTCATGTGGTGTTGATCCTCGAATTGCTGTATCGTGAAAATTGATATAACTATATTCTCCTTTATCACCATTATTCAATTCAGATGTCGCTATGAAATTTCGTAAACCTATTAAAAAAAGAAAAACAAACGGATAGCTGTTTTTTTCTAATGCTTATTAATTTGTTGTAAATAAATAAACATAAAAGTAAACAATTAATTTTGACAAATTAAAAAAAAAAGACACTTTTATTATTTCAAGCAACTAACGAATATAAAACAAAATACTTTAAAAAGTAATCAGACATACCGTAATATTCAAGATCATCTTGACGTAATGCACTTCTTTCCATACTATTTGAACGACCATATGTGCGACGAGTTGGATCATTAAGAACTGATGCAATATGTCTTCCAACTGGTCGATAACGATGTGAAGCAACTACAATGTATAAAATATACATGGATAAAATTATTTGATAAATAGAATCAAAATTGGAACTGTAATTAGATCAACTTTAGCTAATTTCTTGAAAGCAAAATTTAAAAGCTAACAAAAAAGCATCTAAATGTATTGCTCGGATTCTTTTCAGTTGTTATGATATCAATTATTATTGAAAATTGAAAATGGTTAAAATATAAAGATTCCTAAAAATTAAATAAATCAAATATAGCTTTATTTTATTCTAACCACAAATGATAAAATAATAAATTAAAAAAATAACCATTTGATGAATCATGATTTGTTTGATTTTGGATGCTAGGCGTTATTTCTGCATTATGAGCAGCTGCAAAATAAAAATACAAAAAAATTCTAGAAGAATTTATTTGTTTGATCGATAATGATTGAATCGCTTTGAAGACACTTTCGAGAATCATAGTTTAATATAACTTACTTCCAGTATCAATATCGTAAGCGTTGTTTCGTCGATAAAGATAATTATCATCATATCGAGATTTGTAATCTGCTGCATATGAAGAAATTGGATGATTGACGGCAGATGTGCCACCGTACCATGAAGAACCCGTCGTTCGATACGTTGATGAAGGATGCAAATTGCTGATAAAAAACTTTTTTTTCTATATAGTATAATTATATAACTAAAATATGCTTAACAGTGATAAATTGTCGAACTTCACTATGAAATAATGCAAAGATACGGAAAACGAGTGTAGTTAAGATCGATAAGTCAGCTTTATCAAAAATGCCAAGCATAATTTAATGCGTTCAAAATAATCCTAGTGTGGTAATATCACGTAACTCTAATGAGCAACAATTACAATCGAAACGGATAATATAAGAGGGCAATTAAAGTTACCTGACAGCTGTATTTTTCTCCGCTTCACGTTCCGCTCTTGTCTGATACACGTAAAATCTTTTTGGCTCTAATGCCCATGATTGAGGTATTGATGACTGAAAATGATGCTGACAAATCATAACAGTCTATAGTTTAATAAAATTTTATGATTAAAACAAATGAGCAAATTATCAGAAACCTCGTTATCATAACGACTAATGTTTGATGAACCCGATGTAGCCAGCTTGCTTGCATTGGTTGTTCCAGCATACCTGAAATATGATATGCTATGTGTGAAACTTTCTAATTTGAAAAATAAAACTTTCATGAATTTGGCTAGAATTTATGGATTAATAAATAAAATGTTGCATTTCCCATTTATTCTATCGATTGACACGAATTGATCTAACCTAACGAATTTTTTACTTTGTTTTTTTTAAGGTATATATTAGGAAGTTGAATAAATTACAAATCAGGTCGATCAGGTGAAAGATCATGCGCTGTTTTTGAATTCCGTTTATCATCTCGTACCGTATACAAATTATGATTCAGTCCCTGTAAGCAAATGAATCAATCAATTCGCTTGCATCAACAAGGTGGAACATTAATTTAATAAAAGCTAAGCTTATACTAACAACATTATGCCGTGTCGGTGAAATTGTATCTTTTTCGCCAGTCCTAAAGCTGTCATCAGTATAACGTGCATTTTGTCCATAAGCAATAGAATTTGGATATCCTGAAACATTTCATTTCCCGTAAATTTTCCTGAAATTAGATGATTGTTGAGTAGAAAGGTCAATCTAACTGGAAATTTTTGATACACTAACCTGCACTAGCCAAATCTTTACCATCCGACTCTTTTAAAAATTTATGAATATAAAAGGCATCAGCTGGATATAAAGTGTGATCAGTTATTGTTAAACCAGGAGAAATGGATCGATTGGATGCACCTGATGTTCGAGTCCATGATCCGATAGTATCATTAGTTGTTGCTATTGCATGACCTATAAAAATCAAATTTCAATTCAATTACAAAACTAGGACTAAAATTAAGTTTGAATTTAGAACATGTAATTTTTATTGTCATAGAAATAATATGAACAAATATATAATAGATCATAATCTCAAATAATGAGTATTAGAAAAAGCACTTGTATCAAATTCAATATTGACTTTACGTTACTAAATTAAATTTACCAGTATTATATCGGTTTGGTATCATTTCGTCACGATGATCAGCAATGCTAAAATAGCAAAAATTTTGAAAACTAAATGAAATGGATGACATTTAATAGCTTTTGAATATAAGAGATAAATAATGATTTTACAATGATAGAAATCATAAATTCCTGCTTATAAAAACTTCTCAAATATGTAATATTTCTGCAAGGTCGTATCTCTTGCCGATATCAAATTAAGATTCTTCCTAAATCCCATATAAAGCTAAGATTTCTCTTAAAAAATATCAAACTAAGTTCCTCCTAAACCTAAAGTGTCAGGATACTTAAAATTTTGATCAAATATGAGACGGCAAATTACAAGTTCGAAACTATACAATAATTATTTTAATATCAATTCCTCTCTATTTATACACCGTTATTATCAATTCTTGCATCTATTTATCATTGTCTGGAAAATTAAGCAGCAGCATTCAGTTTATAATATTACATTTCTAATTTAAGTAAAATTTGAATTTTAACTGCAACTGATAACATACTAATATATATGATAAGAATTGATGAAAGTATTTTTTTTCTTTTCTCACTCCAATCAATTTATTAATTTCAATAATTAGTTATTCTAACACACCGTAAAATTTAGTTTTCAAAAATCACGGAAAAAGAAAACAATTATTATTCATTTAAAACTGTTATAAGCATTATGCTATCACGAAGTAAGCTAACCTCTTCAAAACATTTTCCGGAACATCAATGGTACGATTTCGTTGCCGACGATCCCAGTTATGACGCCGTGAAAATGATATAGCTGCATCGTATGATGGTGTAGCTAATGACCGATTACTAAAAGTTAGCATAAATCAAAAAAAAAAAAGAAAGCCGATCGCAAACTATCGAAATTCGAAGTTTATCATCTATCGTTTCATTTCTATCTTCTCCACGTAAATTCGGAATGCATTATTGAATGTTATTCGGGGAGAAAAATATTAAATTTATGTTTTATTATTTTACTAAATTTATGTATTATTATTATTATTGTTATTATTATTAAATTTATGATTATTGCTAATATTATTATCATTAAATTTATGTATTATTATTATAAGTAGGAAGTTCAAATAAACATGTAAGCAGCAAAAAATATTTGAATTTTGAAGCAAAGGAATAATTTGATGAATGAATAATATCTTAAAGGCATACCCCTAATTAGTTAATTAATTAAGTAATCTTACAAAGAAATCTAAAATAAATTAATTGAAAGATAAACAAAAACAAACCTTAATTTAATTGGTTCACTTATTTTTCTTGTCGCCAATGATACATCTTTTCTATTATATTCTTCCTTAGCCTTCGATTTCATCTTGACAATTATTGAAAAGAAAAAGAAATGTTCTTTGTCTTTCTTTATTAAATGAAATATTAGGATCAGAAACTTTCTAATCTTGTGAAATACAATTTCTATACTGAATTCTAATTTGAATTTTAAATTCAAATCTTGCATATGCTTAAATTAGTTAAATTTTATTTCTCACCAATAATAATTATCTTGTAAATTTTTTGTTTTAATTTAAATATTAATATTTGAATAGTACCTGATATTTTGCATCTCCTGTAGTAGCATTTATTTCTTGTTTGATCGTTTGTGATTTTCGTTTCTCACCGTCAACTGTAGATGTAACATCAAGAATTCCTAGCAATATTTTAAGCTATCGAATGTGCAAAAATAATAAATGCTTGCAGTATATAAAAGCAGCTATAAGTTGAAATTTGAAACTGACAAACAACTCATTTAAACTAAAATTATTAAGATGAAAATTTTCACATACCTGATTGTTTGTTTGGTGCCACATCATTCTTCTCACTTACTTCACTGCTTTCCTCTTCATCACTTTCTTCATTTTCATTTTCAACATCTTCCTCATCTTCGTCACTTTCTGATTCAGAGACTTCATCCTCCGATTTGATCACATTTGGAGGTGAACGTGGTGGTACCGAACAAACTCTACTACAGAATTTCATTGTTTAAAAAGATTCCAAAAACAAAAATTGTAAACTAGCAAATAAAATACTAAATTATTACTTTGCAATTTCAGCCGGAGTTTCACTGCTTGAAACCATAACATCTGGATCCTGTGTTCGTAGCCAATTCTTTACAATTTTTTTGCCAAGTCTACCCGGAATGTCATCACCGCTATCATCGATCGGTTTTGGATATGTCATGATATATTTCTTTGCCTGTGAAATAAACTCATTTTCTATTCCTTTTTTTGGAATTTGATAAATGGAAATAGATTACCTATCAATAGGATCAATTCCAAAATAATTGATTAGAAAGTTTATGTAATTAAATTTAAAATTATAAGGAAATAATACAACATTTTATCAATATATAGAAAAGAAGGTGTCAAAATAAAAATTTGCTAGGCTTTTTCAAACATTTAGAACATTGAAAATTTAAGTAAACAATTAATAAAATATGCGAATTCAATAATAAATGAAGAATAAAAAGGAGGTGAAGTGAATAAAAGATGCCTTATCAAAGAGGAATGGCGATCTTTCGATGGTCGGTTGAGGTCCACCGATACGACGATGTGGTAGAGTTGGACTTTCACATTCCGTCGATACACCTCGACCGTATAATTCTACTTTACTGTGCTGCAATCCAAATAACTCCTTTATTTGGTTGATAAAATAATATCCATACTTTCTCCTTTTTCTTATTCCTGTTTTTTCCTTTAAATTTTTATCAAAATTATCAATGCTTTTATGTATGATTGATACCAATAATTATTTTTTTTGATTTAACATTATTGATTTTTTAATTATCGCCTTTTGCTTATAAAACATATATATATATATATATTTCGCATGTTTTGCAGGTAAAATTTAAACATATAAACCTGATATTTTCCTTTGCTTTGTCGTTTTGCTAAGCCTCGATCGAAAGCATCGACGAATTGTGGTGCAACATTTTTCATATGTGGATCCGGTGGTGGATTATTTTCACCTTCTCTAAGATTTTCCACTGATAATGCTGTACGATAAGAACCATTTTCTTCATCCTCGATCTTTAATAGGAGCGGAATCAAATTTCAAGTAATAATGCTAATTAATAAAATACAAATATTATCTGGTACCAAATGTATATGCTAATATCGATAGATGTTTAATTCCAGAAAATAGTACTAATTAATTTCTCCCATTTATTTACTAGACTATTGGTGGTGAAAATTCTTAGTTAATGATTCGGATCATGCAACAATCTTTTTAGACTTTTTTGAAGCATTAAAAAATTATCTTGTCATATTCTAGCCAACATTTTTCTCACTGCCATGATTGCTTCAAATACAGTTTCAGTTAGAAGCAAAAATTTGGTTATAATTTGAAAATCAAATATTGGCTGGGAAAAAAAATCAAATATTGATTTTAATCAGTCCAAGATATCTATTTCATAATTTGAAAAATATGATAAGATCTTTTTTCCTAAAAGAAACTACCTGTTCCACTTCTTTACCAAGTTCATCAATTTCGCTATCACTTTCTTCAACCTCCTCATCGTCTTCATCATCACATTCGTTAGCTTCCTTCAATTCATCCTCATGTGCTTTAGGCTGATTTCTATCATTTTCCGAGATGACTTCTTCATCACTTGTATCTTCGAACGAAGTATCCTAAAACAACATCGTTAATTTACAAATTCATAAACAAATGATTGATAAATTTCATTAACATATATCCTATTTAATTATTAAATAACGATAAAAGGCTCTTCCAATTTCAAGCGAATAAAAAAATGATTCACATACTAATAAAAGGAAATGATGAAACCTGGACAGTCTCTTCTGTAACTTCATCATTATGAGAGAAAGATTTTGGTGTTTCAACGTTATGCTCCACATCATCATCTGGATCGAAACCAACCTGAAGAAAAGAAAAAGTTTAAGAGAAGTTTACTATGCAGCAGTAAACTAGCACAAGAAGTTGAAATCAAAAGTGTGAATACGATAGTTTACTTCATCATTTAACTTTTATTATCCTAGTAATTAATTAGCACATAGTTTGATGGAATTAAAAGTAACTCTAATTTCTCATAATTTATTACTTTCTAATTTTGATCGAATTTGTAAATATGTAAGAAACAATCTTTTATGTATTATAACATTTAATTTCATAATTAATTTTGGTAGAATTAAAAATATTTTGTTTTATTATAATTCAATGTAATTATATACTATTCAGAAAAAAAAATGATAAAAAAGTTTTATCATTTTTAAAAAAGTTTATTAGGTGCATAAAATTATATCATACCTCAACACTATGCCATGGTCGTTCACCAAAATTTTTCGCTTGTCCAAAATGCTGTGCTGTACCAGTCATTTGATATTTTCCAGATGTTCGTTTCTCGTCAACTTTAATTGATGAATTTGTTGCTAACTCATTTACCTTACTACTTCGTCTACTTGGTATTCCTACTGTTGCTCCACCAACTGATCCTAGTGCTGCTGTTGCTGCTGCTGCTGCTGCGGCTGCTGCTGCTGCTCCAGCTGTTTGCCGTTTAATTAATTCCTAAATAAAAATATATGCATAAATTTTGTTATATTTAAAATTACTTACTTTAGCAGAAATTATTTAATCATTAAATAATATAAGGATAAGCATTGAAATGAATGATTGAATTATATCAAATGAAATTTTCATTCTTATATTTATTACTTATTTTTGTAGAAAATTGTAAAAATTTCTATAATTTTTTTTTCTTCAAAATTTTTCAAATTTTTTATTTTGTATTTTTAGACCTGAGATTGTTGTTGGATTAATTTCGAAGCTTGCTTTTGCACAGATGGTGGTTGAGCTGCAATAATTGATTCTAGCAATTCTTTTACCATCGGTCGTGAATCATAAAATGGATGAGCTTTAATGCGTGCAACCAATGTCATACTAACTGGTCCTTTCTCCATTTGTTCTAATACCTATAGAGTAAAATAAAGTTAATTTAATTACCTGTAAATTTATGAAATCTATCGAAATTATTGCAATCATCAAGTGATAACAAATGATAGATAGCCCAATCATCCAATCTATCATATTGATTTAATGGAATGATTTGATAAATTTGTTATTTATTAACATTGTTTGTTCCGAGAAATAAACACATAGTCTATGCAATTAATATAACTGGTAAGTTTCGCATTGAATAACTGTGCTCTTTTGGCAACTCTCGATAACTCTGGTAGTGAAAATTGAATAATTTGTTATATTAAAGGAGAACTCGTTAAAGTTATTTTTGACATAAAATAATCTAATTTTTAATTAAAGGAAAAAACCTGATTCATAAGCATATTCAATGAATCCATCTCTAATCGCCATGTTTCAGTCGATAGTTTCCGAGATGTTCTAGCTGCTGCAATCACACCTTCTGAATCCAATGGAACAAATGAAGGTTTGGAAGTTTCACTGCTTGCACCTGTCGATATTACGCTAAAATTTCGACGATTGAAAAAAACAATTCATTCAAAATTGTAAATAAAATCATTTATAGTTTGAAGTGAATCCGGGATTTTATTATAACTTTCAAATTTTGGCTGTCAAATACAAATTATAATTAACATTATGTTTCTATATATATTGTTGCATAACGTCAGAAGCATATTGAAAAATAATTTCTTGGAAAACAGTAATGTCAAAAAATTCCGAAATCTTTCAATTGTTAAATAAATAATGGTAACCAAAACTGATTTGAACCTAATTTTGGAATTTGAAGTAACCGGATCATCGGGCTGTTCCGGACTCAATTCAGTTCGTTCATTTTTGTTCTTCATTCTGCTGGTGCTATTATTACATCCACCAGCGGTTCCCGATGTTGGTTGCTTAAAACGACGAACTTCTTTGTTTGCTTGAGCCTATTAAAGATAAGAAATGCATGAAACAAAATGTGAACTTTACAATTTCTATAAAATCTACTCGCATAATTCAAGAATGAATAAATGGAATCAGTTATTCAATATATTCTCACCTGATTAGGTGTATTTGATAACTTGTTATCCGTAGCAACTGTCTGATTATCTTTGTTTTGTAATCGTGATTCCAATCGTTTTAATCTTTCCAATGGTTCATAATATATATTCGGTTCTTCCACTCGTTCACTTACTCGTTCACGTTCCTTTTTTTTATTTAAACGCTGAAACGATAAAAGAATAATTTAAAATTAAACGATTTGAATAAAAATTTAAAATTAAATAATTTGAATAAAAATTTGAAATTGAATAATTTGAATAAAAATTTAAAATTAAATAATTTGAATAAAAATTTGAAATTAAATAATTTGAATGAAAATTTCATAAAGGATCGTACAGGATCGTAACGGAGACTTTTTTCTGCAGCTGTAAGTGTTGGCAATTCGGTGCCATCTGTTTTTCGTGCTTTTGGTGGTTTTATTGGTGAATTTTCAATATATTCTTCAGCTTCTTTACGTCGTCTACGAAATTCCTCAATTTTAAGTCTGCAAATAATTTAACAATTGTAATTTCTTAATTGCACGCATATTGAAGTAAATTTACCTTTTTTTTTTTTAAATTGTCATATCAAAAATGCAAAAGTAAAATTTTCAAAAAAGAAAACCTAGTCGAAGGACTTAAATGACCAAAATCCATGAATACATCAGCTTCATCAGCCAAATCTTGTACTACCATCGTTTCTGCTCGATCAGTTAATGGTGTATGATCGATAATCTAAAATTTGCAATTTTCCGATACTTTCACATAAGTAACATTTTAATATAGCAAAAAGTATTTGCCGTTAATTAAAATAATCTAACCTGATTTTCTGGAAGTTCTTGAATTACAGGCATATTTTCATCCAAATTTAACCACCAATGACTGGCAATTTCGTCAATATCCGCTCGTCTTTCTGGATTCACTCGTAACATATTTCTAATTAACATTGAAGCAGCTAAAAAAAAAGATGATGAGAAAATTAAGAAAATTTTTAATTGTGTGAAAATTTTTATTCCTTGTAATTTATTATTACTTCTTCTGTAAAAAATAAATATTGGAAAAACAAAAAGAAGAGAAAATCAGATGAATTTCAACTGATATAAAACAAACTTGATGGAGTATCAGGCTCAAAATATGCGCCACGTTTAATTTGTCTAACCATTCGATTGAAATCACGACCATCAAATGGCATTGACCCGTAAACAAGTGTGTAGAGAAGAATTCCTAAACTCCAACAATCCACCTATAATTTATATATTCTAAGTTATTCATAATTAGTAGTAAATGATCTGCTGAAATTGCACAATTTCACGACTTTCTTTATTTTGAAAAAGAAATTTTTAATTAAAAAAAATTTTTCAGTTCAGCAAATGAAAAGGTCAAATAACTAAATAGGTAAATAAGTTTGATCGAAATAAATTGTAAAAAAAAGAAAGTTTAGCTTAAATAAACAAATGAGAGAAATTATATGAACCTCAGGGCCTCTATACGGTGTTCCATTAATGATTTCAGGTGAAGCATAAAGTGGACTACCACAAAATGTATTCAACAGTGTTTTGTCGGAGAAATAATTGGAAAGTCCAAAATCGGCAATTTTGGCATTGTTATTCGCATCCAACAAAATATTTTCCAATTTCAAATCTCTATGTGCCACTTTATTCTGTAATTTAATAAAATTTTAATTAAAAACAAAAAATCGAATAAATTATTTTAAATTATTTATTGTTAAAATTGCATAATGTTTTTTGTTTTCGTTTGTTTTAATTAAGACTTAAATTATTTTTATCAGGTATACGTATAATGAAAAAATTACTTTATGACAGTAAAGAATAGCCGAAGTGATTTGACGAAAAATTCGACGAGCTTCAGATTCTGGAAGTGATCCATATGTGCTCACATAATCGTATAGTTCTCCACCGCATGCATATTCCATCACGAGTATTATTTTATCCCTATTTTCAAATACTGAAATTCATTCACCTTTTTTTTTCTTTGAAATTTGTTAAATTGTCAAATTATTAAATTTGTTAAAACAAACAATTTAATATTAATTATTTATAAGAAAGAGAAAGAGAGAGAGTAGCAAATTAAAATTAAATATTTAAAGCAAAGCTTGCGTTAATTTAAATTTCTAATGAAAGGATTTTACCGAATGTAAATAAAAGAAACCCTCAAAAATTTGTATAATATTTGGATGATTCAATGCAGACATTATTCGTATTTCCCTTCGAATTCTTACCAGATCCTGCTTATTTTCAATAGCACTCTTTTTAATAAGCTTTACAGCAACCTGAAATTACGATATTATTATACACAACAACCTGAAATTAAAATATTAATATATAAAGCAATCTGAAATAAAAAAATTTTTTTCCCCTTAAGCTGTCACTAATTTTCAACATATAATTTAGTGGAATGGAAGATTTGGGTAAAAATAAAATAAAAACGATGCAAAAAAAAACCTCTCGTTCAGTTTTATGATCATAAGCAAGCGATACTTTACCATATGTACCTGATCCAAGCTTTTTAGTAATTTCAAAACGATGCTTTATTTCACCTTTTGATCCGCCCGGTAAACCACATAACGGTTGACCTCCTATAAACAATATTCATTTCAGTTCAATATTTCAAAACATTTATTCCCAATATTATTACTGCTACTAAAATGCCGTAACTGTAAAATAATTAAAAATCAATAAAACGTTATAATACATTGTATATCAGTGATAGGAAATTTGTACATGCAAATTTTAAAATTTGAAATCAAAAATTAAAAATAGAAAAATTCTATTAAATGATCATGCAAATGGAAATTGAAATATTTTATAATTTTTTTTTCATCCTTTCCCTCGTCTAATTATCTTTCATTTCTTGAAGGCCATGAAATATATCGAAAATTTCATTTATTGATGATATAATTTTATATTAAACGGAGAGAGAGAGAGAGAGAGAGAGAGAGAAAACGAATAATTGCTCGGAATTTATCTGAATTAATCAAATAATAGTTATTGTATATGTACATATATAAGATATTTTGTTCGTTTGTTTCAATTTTTTTTAAATTCATTATATCATCAATGATTTAATTAATTTCATTTAATTTTAATTAAATTATTTATAATCAAAATTTTACAAAAAAAAAAAAAGTTACCAAGCATAGAGTTTCCTCCCGTAATACCACTACCATATTGATTACAACGAATTTTGCTTGAACTATATTTTGCATTTTTTGTACTGCGATTGCTGTTACGCAGTCCAATGCTACCTGTACCAATCGTCATACCACCTTGTAGCCAAAGTGGCCTATACTTATCGTCTGAAACATAGAAAGAAAAAAAATGTTTTTTGTTTTAAATTAAAATTTTTGAATGAAAAAAAGAAAAAAGAGTGGCGACGAAAATTATTATTAATAAAAATAGCATAACATATAACATTATATTTGTAATTTTAACGAAATTTATTAATTAAATGAAACAACGATTTAATTACATTAATTAAATTATAAACAAATGTAAATAATTAAAATCTAAAAAAAAAAATTCTTTTTTTCTTAAATATATTTGAAAAATAATCTTTTTACTAATCAATCGTATAAACTGTCAAAATTTGAAATGATAATGGAAGTATAGAAATCGAGGAAAATTTTAGATAATAAAAAGAAACAAAAGAAAGAAATATGAAACAGTTAATTAGTAAATAAAATTTATTGCTAAAAATAAAACAAAGAAAAAAATTTTTTTTTACAATAAATATGACATTGAAAATAATGAAATTTTATGTGATAAATTAAATTTGATAAATAAAATGATATGAATTATTTGTGAATTTGAAAATTTAATTTATTCTCAAAATTTTAGGATTAATTTAAAAATTTAATTTATTCTCCACAAATCTTACTATCATATCAAAATTCAATTTATTCACATATCATAAGATTATTTGACAATTCAATTTATTTCCAGATTTCAATATTAGCAATAGCAAAAGGCAAAAATATTATGAATAAACAAGACTAATGAATAGATAACGGAAAAACGGAAAAAGGCGAAGAAGAGAAGATGAGAAGATCGTGAAGAAAAAGATATCATCATTTTTGTCTTTTCAATCTATTTTTTGTAATATTAAATTTTATTTAAAAAAATGGAAACAGAAAAAGGAACGATTAAAAATTTATGGAAATGATTAACTGATTTAAAACGAACGATAGCGATTTGTGGTGGTTTGAATGCAAAGTGATGGAAATAATTAACTGATTTAAAACGAACGGTAGCGATTTGTAGTTGTTTGAATGCAAAGTGATCTAATCCAGATGTTCAAGTAAAAACGTCTGGTTTGAATGTAAAATGATCAAAATTTATATGAGTAATCAAATAGTGATTAGATAAATAATTTGAATGTAAAATAATCAAAAGAAAAAAATCACTAATAAAAGATCAAATATATTAATTTGATAAAAATTATTTGAATGAAGTTCTTTAAATATGCTATGCATAATATATAGAAATCATTTTTGATATAAATTTCAATTCAATACTAATATATTTTATATTCTTTAGCTATAAATCAGGAGCCATATTAAGAAATTTAATTTTGCAATTTACAATGTGAAAAATACCTTTGATGCTTAAT